TTTAGAAGGGGCTTATCATTCCCTATACAGTTCTGTTTAGATTTTTCAGTGACACCCCAAATGCTCCAGAATGTACGACAACGGTTTGAAAATAACTTATACCACTGTATGCAAGTTGACGGACAGCAATTCGAACATTTACTTGACTAATAAATAAGTTCTGGAGTACAATTGAACCGATTTTTGTATTTTTCGTCCCTTATCATGGTTGAGTTTCAACGCTCCATATTTTCTGAAAGAGCAGATCGATTTGAAAAATCTAAGCAGCAATGTATAGGGAATGACAAGCTCCTTCTGAAGAGGTATCGCTTGACCACTCTTTCCATTTGAAAAAAAAATTTTGGGATGACACCCCCACTTAGGAGTTGGAGGTTTCACTATGCTTGTAACGTCAAAATGTGTCCACCAGACAAACAAACTTTCGGATTTCATCGAAAAGTTCTTTCCCAGCATGTAATGCCTTGCGGTACATTTTCGATTGGCCACCCTGTTATATAGAAACTTTTGATTCCTCAATATTTATATTCCGCATACCAGCTGATGAAGAACCTTTGATTTTGAAACGGTGTTTTTATATCTGGGATCACAAACCTTTCAGTCATATAAAAACTTATTGGACACATTTCACATTGAAACTCGTGAATTCTCAGTCATTCTGAGTCACATGAATGCTGATAAAAATCGCATTGAATTAGATAAGGAACTCCTCAGCGAAACATTGAAATGCTGAACTATTTTTTCCCGACGATACCCAATAGAAATATATTTGCGAACTGCTACACATTTCCCATTCCTTCTAACCCTAATGAATGTCCATAGAATACTTTCCAATTGAAAGTGGGATATCTTATTGGAGTTCATAGTCTCCTCAAACCTAGTGTCTCATACAAACCTTCATATTCAATATTTGTATATGCTCATAAATCACATATACTTATCAAATATCATTTGAAGGGGTGAGAAGCAAAACAATTTAAGTGGACTTTTCCGGCAAATCGACCTAAGCGTTGTTTCGACCTCCAAAGGTCGATGGTTGATTGTTTTATTTGTTTTATTATGATTGTCTTTGTTTCTTTTCGATTCTGAGGAGGAGAGGCATACAAATGGAGTGAAGTGGTCAGTTATATCTGTATAAAAATCATTGGGGAAATCGAAACATGATTTTTAAAACAAATTTCTTTTCTTATGGAAATATGGTCGATAGTAGATTTAGTATCTTTAGTTATTCTGGTTGTTTTGTTAATGTAGGAAATAAAGTCATTTGAACCTAGAATGTTCGAGTAGTTGTTAGTTTAATTATTGTGGATATTCTATAAATTAATGTTTATGTCCCCCACATGAATTTCTATATTTTGTTTATTCAAGTTGGATAGGTAGTTTTGCAAGTCGTCGGTGTATTCCGAGTTGTTTGTTGTGGGTTGTCGGTAATATGCTGTCAATCCTATTTTGCTTTCCTTTGAAAGATGCTTAATGGTGAATGTAGCTCTTAGGAAACGACTTTTATTTATTTGCACTACTGGTACATCTGCTGATATGTGGTTTTATATATATATCATGACCCCATCAAATTTATTTATAGTTGATTCGTCATAGTATTGGGTATAGTTTGGAATTGTGAAATTACTTACCAATTCAATTATTCTCGTTTCTGACAATATAATTATATCCAATGATTCTTTGGCCATTTGAATATATACAAGGAGCTCGTCCATATGCTTTCGTAGACCTCGTATATTGAAGTGCATCACTCCCAGAGTGAGAGCTTCATTATTCGATCCCTTTTGAAAATAGTTATGGAAATTATCACATATTTCAGTCTATGGTTTGGTTATCCAATTCGTTGATTAAATCGAGCATTACTATACAATACGCACATTGATGAGGAGAGTGAGGTCCCCTAATCAATAAATCTATATAACTGAAATAACTAGCTTTATACATAAAAATAATAGATGGTAAAAAAAATCAAAATACGGTGTATCTATTACAGAAAAATACAATAAGTGTAATGTAGGAGAGGAAAAGAAAATTAAAAATATACATACTGTTTGTTCGAGTGAAACATTTTGGGTTTTATAATTGATCTATTTTTTCTAAGTCTATTTTATTTCTTATCATTGTAACCTTATTGTTTGCGTTCAGATATATTTTTCCGGATTCAGTCCATACTTGTTTCAGTCCGAACTTGGATATTGCTTCGTTTAGAAGTTCAACCCTTGTTTTTGTTAAATCTTCACGGATTATTATTCCTGAGCCCTTCAGAAGTTTCTTTTTAGAATAAATTTGTTAATTTGTTGTTTCATCTCATCGTTAATTACTTTGAGAAAGATTCCTCTGGATTTGCTCACATTTTTTTTCCAATCCTATAGCAAATCATTATTTCATTTGTGGTGATGTTCATATTCATTTTGGAGTTTATCATTTTAATGATTTCGTCTCTAGTGTCTTCGTTGTTTTTTTCATTCATGTTGAATATTCTCAAGCAATTAGAGCGACTTGCTTGATCCATTCTATCAATATCCTCCTTCATTTTTGCATTTTCAAATATTTCCTGTCTTAGTGCTTTTTCCAATGTTTTGGTTGTATTTTCGTGTTGTTGGATTATTTCTTGTAATTCATCTTTCAGCTCCGCCACTGAATTTTCTAGCAAAGCTATTTTGCTATCGAGTGTTTTTATAACGGCAGCGGCCACGTTGTTTGTGATAGTTTTTATAAATGTTTCAGATTTCAGGCATTTACTTACAGCTTGAGCGACTGCGTTTTCAATTTCTTCTCGAACTTCTCGCGTTATTACCATTTTCGTAACTATGATAACTCATACAATGTATTGTCATATATCTCTCAGTCGAAATTCGGAAATTCCAACGGCTATTTTGACTTAGATTTTCAATAATTTATGGGGAGCTCACTTCTAACACAGCTTATGCTAAGTATGCCATTGGCGCATTGGTATGACATTTTTCTCATATTTATTTGAGATATGAGTGAGAGTGCATATTTATAGATAATATTATTTCACCGAGTTCTATCTACTCTCTCGGTATAAGATTGATATATCTGATATTGCTAACCGCAACCATTTTTCTGTAGACATATGTTATTCGTTTTCATCTCCACAGTTATATTACTTTTCTTAAAAAATCTTCATAACTAGGCGAATGTAAACCAATTCTATATGTAGATAATGAGGTTCTGAATGGATATCTATAAAACCAGTCGCAGTAGGAAACTGAATTTTTGGGAAATTGTTGGTGACAAAATCATTTATATACCGGGTGTCCCAAGTAATCGTTCACAGGCAATATCTTGCTCATTTGACAAGATAATCAGAAAATGAGGAAACTGCTCTGAATGGCACTTTCCAAATAACTCAAAAAATGGACCACATTCGACAACCCTATGGTAGTTGCTCTTCACTTCCTATTCTCAAATGGCACACCCTGTATTTTATCACATGATCCGTTAGGGATTACCATAACGAATTCAACGATACCGGATTTAATAGGGTTATTTCAAACGATTACCTACGAGGATATTGGCGTTTCCATATTATGATCAATGTGGAACGCGAATATCTCCGTATGAAATGGAATACAAGATGTGCCATTTGAAAATAAAAAGTAATGAGTTGCTTTACCACAGGGCTGTTAAATGTAATTCATTTTTCCGAAGCAGTTTTATTTTTATTTTCTGATTATCTTGTCAAATATGCGAGGTATTGCATGTGTACGATAACTTGGGACACCCGGTATTATATGATGATTTAGGAAGTTCAGAGTGGATTACAAACTGTGGAGTGATTTCAAAATAGGTGATTCCGCTACGTTCAGAATCAAAAATGTTAATGATCACCCTTGATATCTCCACGATATACCTAATGATAATTCGGTATCAGTTATCAATGGAGGATAACAATTCACTGAGATTTCATACCTCCAATCAGATGTACTGAAAATTGAGAAAATTCCATCACAGAGAACCATTTCGCCTATGAGGGTCTCTATTGAAAAATCAACTAATTTCACCATAATCTATTTTCCAGATAGTGCAAAAGTAGTGTATATGTCACATGAGTAGAAGTGGCTCGACCACTCTTGAATAAACTATTACACAAAAGCATATAATTCACAAATCTGCAATGCCCATAGAGATGAGGGGTAAATTCCAAAACTAGTTTTATCCAAATTCGTTAATCTTGAATAAACGCGAAGAACGGACAGCAACTCAATTGATTGATATTCATGATCAATTTTTTTGCATTTAAGTTGCGCAGGTATCACTCAATTATTATACAAATTCGAAAATAAATCCACACATAATTGTACTATAATAAATTGAATTGGATGAGAAGAGTTTTGTTGCAAATCAATGGATAAAATAACAGTTATCGAACGAAAAACAATGGATTAAGAGAGTTTTGGGAATAAAATTCAAGCCATGACTACCACTTTTTCAATGAAACAAGTTGGTTAATTTTTTTTATTGCTCGGAGCGCACAGAAGGAAATCCCTATGATGTTCGAAGAATATCAAGCGAATATATGGGGAGGATAAAAATAAAAAATGAAAGAAGGTATTGACATTTTTTTAAGTTTTAGGAATTATAAGTACATGAAAATACTTCCTTAGGCAATGAATTCCAGAGCTCTGCAGTTTCATAGACAAAGGCCAACGAATTTTGATAAAGTGATGTTCAGCATATTTCAAGGTCGAGAACGGAAGGATGTGCTGACTGGGCTTGTCGAGTTCGTCTGACTGGTATCGCAAGTGATTGAATGATAGCAGAGATTTCTAAAGAACATTTCCCGTGGAAGTATGTATAGAAAACGGAAAGGTCGCCGACTGTGACATCACCCGCCAGGCGAATGGCTCTTTTCTGGATGGAATCTGAGAGCATCAGTATATGTTTCCAACGTGAATGTTTCATTGAACATAATTTTGATTGGAAGAACCTGTTATCAGTAGTGTATAGTAAAAAAAATTAAGTCAGTTCGTTCTTACGGACAGTTCATCACCTCCCTCTGATGGAATACATAGTAATCCTTCCGTTCCTTATCTCTAAACAAAAACCTGCTCTACTTGCGGTTTCAAAAACAGCTGGTATGAAACCAAAATGATTAAAGAAATTTTCGCATGCAGGATATGAAGAGTTTTGCTACCAATATACGGATGGATAAGATCAGTTTTGGAACACATGTACTATTCCACTATAAAAATTATAAGCCATATGATGAGTTATGCCACGCAAATTATACTGAATACTGTACAAAAATCAAAACAATGGATAAAAAGAGTTTTGAACATTTGTGAGAGGACAATATTTGAAAGGTTTCTTCTACTTACTGTTTCACATATGAAGCACATATACTGCAATAGTTCTGTAGGAACTTACTCCAAATACAAACTCTTCTTGACTAGAAGAATACCATAGAAAATAGCAAACAATAGACTCAATAATATAGCAAACAATAGACTCATGGAAATTATAATTCATCAATAATTTATTCAGATGACGATTTGGCAAAAATAAATATATGCACTGTATGCATATGTGTTATGGGGTCGTCAATAAACAGATTGTCTACAAAAAAATTATTATTCATCGATGTCATTCATATTGATTGATTTGGTATCATGTAACAAAAATGTTCTGAATTATAGTTATTGCTGGAATGAAGAAGTTGATACTTTCTCGTTGGAGAGGAGATAAAATGAAAAAGATGATAATAGTCGTCACAATTACGGTGGTACAATAATCTCAGGATAAATTTCATAGGGGTTCTGGCCGTCTGGTCACCATAGGCCGCAAAAATGACTCCGAATTACAACAATCCACTTATTATATTTACTAACTTGCCAGATTTATACAGGGCGATTCTGAATGATTTGTGAAAATGAATGCTTATGAAGACATACTCATGCTTTCATTTGGGACTACTTGGGAAATAACTAATTTCGAGTACATTGGTGATACTGTTGATGAATCATTAGAAAAATTCATGATGAAGCCTAACCAAAAATCATGGTTCGTGAACACGTGGAGAAATGTATGAAATTAAAGGGATATTCATAATGATACAGAATTTTGCCTACCTGTAAGTTGACCAAGTGACAAAAACGAAGAGATTTTGTTATTGCTAAACCCAAAAATTCTAATGCAATGAAGTTTCAGAAAGTCTCTTAGAAGAGAGATGTGATCGTCTTCAGCTTTTGCTATGAAAAGGCCTCGTTCGAGAACTTTATCTCCGACACAAGTTTTCATCACAATCAAACTATTGGTAAAATGGCACAAAAAAACTAAACATCCAATAATGATTCCTATATATCTCTTCAACAAAGATAGTCTCGCAGTATAGTAGTTAATTGGTAGATGGCGCAACTATGCATAAATTAGACGAAGTAGTACCGCATAATAATGTACATGCACAAATACAAATTGAATACATATATATTGACAATCAATAATGAGCATAATGCCTCTGATAATGAATGGAATGACGCGGAATATTTTTTTTATCGCTTGGAGCGCACGGAAGGAAATCCCTATAATGTTCAAAGAACATCGTGCGTTTCTAGGGAGGATAGGGACAGGAGGTAGGTATTGAATTTTTTTTTGAACTTCTGGAGATTGTATGTTGTTGGGAATACTTCCTCAGGCAATGAATTCCAGAGCCTATAGCCGTTCTATGGATGAAGGAGTTTTGATGAAGTGCTGTTCAGAAATGAGAAGTAGAAGGGTTTATGATTCATTGAACCGAAGATGGTAGGTGATACAATTACTTGTGACTGATATTAAACATGCCTCTTCCTCTGATGTTTTCAATGCCCACCGGGCTGCCTTGCCTTGCAGCTTTGCTTCAGCTGATATGGGTTTCTGTTCGGCGAATGAGTCAACATTACCGTTCAAGGGATTTCCAACTGCAGATTTCATGCCCAGCTGGAGCTCGTTTGGTACAAAACCTGTAGGTTCGTGCACAACGCTGTTCAGGAATTCTTAGAAATTACTGACTTCATAAGCCCAACACAAGTGTTGTTCACTACAGCAGGTACGAAAAAACCTACCAACACGTGCTTTATGTGTGTACGTCCAGTGAATGTCCAACGGAAGTACAACATCTACATAATGGACGTCCATTGAACGTCGAGTCATGTACACCGAAACGTCCAGGAAACGTCCACACCTCAATGGATTTAACATCGGACATACATTCAGGATGTTCAATGGATGAATATTCAGGATGTCCAATGGACGTTCGTTCAAGATGTTCATAGGACGTACATTCAGGATGTTCAATGAACGTACACTGGAAGCAGTCAATGAAATATCTAAACAAAGAATCTATATTCATATGAAATATCATTTATTATAGAAATATCTGTAAGGCACCTACGCAGTCCCTGACAACACGGGTTCTTGCTGGTACATCCCGCTAAGGTCCTACAAATGTCCCAATTTTTCAGACTAAGGTACGATATCCCAGAGATGTTTCTCTTGGGGCATCCATCAGATGTTTCCATTGGTTGTTCTAGAAACATCCCATTCGATCTTTTTTTTATGAACAATACCATTGTTCCATATTTGCTAATGATGATTGACATGATTGAACAGTTTAAACAATTGTGACATTTGAAACATTGAAAAGTTGGTAAAAAATGGAAATCAAAACTGTATTCGTACTCATATACTTATACTTATACCAACGCCGGCTAATCTCATCGATAACAAATTGAAATAATCATACTAAATATGCCTCAATAAGATTACGAAAGTACCTGCTTAACTTCATGAACCATGTAATAAACGACAAAATAGAAATATATCTCTTCAGCATAATCATTGCTGAATTTATTTGTTATACCAGCCGATAGATGGCGGTACAACAACGTTGCTAAGAGTCACTAACAGCCGTCGGCCCAGCGTCAACAAATATGAGCCTCAAACAACTAAATCATCTTCCATTAGTTATTGGACCGCACCGACCTTATATATTCGGACTCGGATTGTTACTTTATATCTGGAAATAGGTCGGCCATTTTCAGGATATCAGATTGAAAATAATGCATGCCGTGTCATCCATTACTGTCATCAAACAGAAAACATCCTAAAAGTCTCCATATCAAGTACCCTGAATGTCTCTGGTACATCCCGTATCATCCCACAAACATTCTGATGGGATGTTTATAAGACATCGCAAATGCTGACACGGGTGTTGCCAGCAACATCCCAAGAATGTCCCAAGGAAAATAGGGATTTTCCAGAGATGTTCCTATCATCCCATATGGATGTTTCTACGATGTCTTACAGATGTAATTGTGTTATTAGGGGTGTAATGCCATTCAATATGGATACAACATATACTTGGAATTTAATGCACGAATTTCGTCATCCTGCTCTTGTTCAGCCATCATAATTATGTTATGTTCTAGGATTATTAAGCGCCTATAGGTGTTTCGACTCACAACATTCGTGAAAGAATCAAGTAATGAAAAATACTATCTGGAAAAGCAATAATTTAAGAAGCTGACATGATATTCACCTACAATATAGAGAGAAAAAATATAACAATTAAATTGTATACCACCACTGTTCAGTTCAGTTCATATTATGTTTATTTGAATCTGAGGTCCTGCGAACTTTACTTCCGACGTACAGGCTGTCCCATTTTCGAGGATAGAGATTTGCGATTTTCGCAAACGGTGGCTACTTTTTTGTAAAACGGAATTTGCATGGCCTGCTTCGTTTTTGAGGGCGAAATTGAAAATATTGCATTTTGGGACCCCCCTGTATCTCAGCTATCTTCCAACTTATAAAAAGAGTTGAAACTTTCACCCATATAGTTTTTCACGTGAAATCCAGTGGCATAGTTAGATATTCAAAGTGAGCTGTTATTATCCAGATATAACCCAATTATTCTTTTTGATAGAACAAACACCTTGTATTTTTTTTTATTTGAACCATTGATGCTTTGCGCTTTCCAAAAATATATATAACTTATACGATATTGTGAGTATAAGTATTGAATTCAGATGATTCAGAATCTTGTAGTTTATTTCTTATTGATCCGCCTTGTAAATGTGTAGCAATATTTTTAATATCATGAATTTTTATATTAACCCTGTTGTTGACATAGTGTTTCGGCACATACTATAGTATAAATTTTACTTATTTTCATTACTTACCAATATCCAGCACTATTCATGACTATGAAAGCTGTGGACCTTATTAGTAGAAAGCTATGAAAAAAAAAGCGAGTGCAGATTGTTTAATAATTATCCTTGTTACCGTTTACAGATTTTCCATCCAATGACGAATTATCCAGGATATCAAAACTATACGAAAATTCAGAAACCAACTCAATTTCAACCATAATATATAGGTGATCTTTCGTAGTTTTGATAGCCTGTATTATTATTCCCCATTGTATGGAAAATTTGTGAACTCCGACAGGTAGTCAGGTGAGAACAATTATAATACATTCTGCACTCGCTTTTTTTAATCGCCACCTACTAATTAGGTCCACAGCTTTTATAGTCGATAAATAGTGCTGAATATTGGTAAATAATGAATGTTGGTGAAATTTGAACTAGTATGTGCCAAAATACAACAATAGGGTCAATATAAAAATTCATGATATTGAGATAATAAAAATATCGCGACACTTTTACAATGCGGATCATTAAGAAATATACTAAAGAATTGTAAATCATCTGAATTCGAGGATAATCCACAAAATGAAGTATGAGTGTAATATAATTTCTGAAGGCGGAAAGCATCAATGTTTCGAATATGAAAAAATATACAGGGTTTTATATTTGAAAAAACATAACTTTGGGTGACATCATCTAAATATTGAGAGCTCATTTCGAAAATCGGATTACGCCACTGATTTCCACGTGAAAAACTGTATCAGTGGCAGTTTCTACTTTTCCTAAAAGTTCAAAGATAGCTGAGATACAGGGGGGTCCCAAAATGCAACATTTTCGATTTCGCCCCGTTTCTCAAAAATGAAGTGGGCTATGAAAATTTCGGTTACGGTATCGTGAGTTTCGCAAAAAAACTAGCCAACGTTCGCGAGAACCGCTAATCTCTATCTCTGAAAATGAGTGAGATATCCCGTAAGGACATCGTAAATGGGACAGTCTGTGCAGTGACTATTTGGACTACAATGATTACTCGCATTTTCAAAACCACATTATGGATATAGATATTTTCCATATTCATAGTCCATATTTGGACATTATTCATTGGACG